GGGGATGTGCCCGCAACCCAGGTACATGCCCTTGACCGGAATCGAACCTGGGACCTTTCAGTCCGCAGGCCGACGCTCTATCCACTGAGCCAAACCGGTTTCGGCTTAAAATATATTTTTATTGATTTCAGAGAGGAAGGGAGAGGAAGAGAGAGAGAGAAACATCAATGATGAGAGAGAATCATTGATTGGCTGCCTCCTTCATGCCCCCTACTGGGAACCAAGCCCACAACCTGTGCATGTGTCCTTGACTAGAATCAAACCCAGGACGCTTCAGTCCATAGACTGATGCTCTATCCACTGAGCCAAACCAGCGAGGGCTAAACTATTTGTTTTAAACGGTGCATGCAAAAGGGCCGTTTGACAGTGGAAACAATTCAAAGCCAGTCAGACCTGATTACCTTAATGCCTGGTTATAAAGGTGTGGAGTCTTAGCCTGATTTCTTCATAGAGCTAGCAATTAGTACTCATGTATGCCTTTGAGGTTCTAGAAAAGGCCATTATTTTGTTCATAGGAATTTTTTTAAAAATGTTATAGTTTGTCTTGTTTTCTAAAGGTGAGATTTTCAAGACAAATCTAAAGACAGTTTCTTGCCCAAATAATAATCCATATTGTTCTTACATATTTATAGTAGTACTAGAGGCATGGTGCATGATATTTGTGCATGGAGGGGGTGGTTCCCTCAGCTCAGCCTGCACCCACTCCATTCGGGGACCCCTTGGGGGATGTCCGACCACCCAGGTATTGGGCCTAAACCGGAGGTCGGACACCCCTCTCACAATCTGGGACCGCTGGTTCCTAACCACTCGCCTGCCTGCTTGATTGCCCCTAACCCCTCTGCCTGCCTCTGCCTGCCTGCCTAATAGTCCCTAACTGCCCTCCCCTGCCGGCCTGATCTCGCTCCTAACTGTCCTTCCCTGCAGGCCTGATCTTGCCCCCAACTGCCCTCCTCTGCCGGCTAATTTGGGTCTGATTGGTCAGTTTCTATGCCAGTCAGCGCCAAAAGCTCCACCTCCTAGGCAGCCATTGGCTCCTTACATGGGTTCTGATTGGTCAGTTTCTATGCTAGTCAGCGTCTCTGGGCCTCTCAACCGGGCCTGATCAGAAAGTCGGGGCTGATCAGCAGCCCCTGTGGAGGCCTGGAGAGAAATGGAGGCGTGGCTGTTGGCCAGGCCTGGAGAGAAAGAGAGGCAAGTTCTGATCAATGGCTGCCACAGAGGCTATGGATCAGCCCCTGCCCCTCTCTCTGCAGGCCTCTCTCTGAGCCTGATCCACAGCCCGCTAGGCAGTCAGTGCTGGGTCAGGGCGCCCACAGCTTCCGGTCTGATCGAGCCTTCGGTCATTAAGACCCTGGCTTTTTATTATATAGATGATTTACTTTAAGTGTGTTAAATTGGATGCTCTATAAACGCTAAGATTTAAAACTTCAGACTGTTATTTTTACTTTGTCATTTTCTTTAGGAAAAGACTGTTCAAATGTGATAAAATACAACTTTGTCAGTTATAGTAGTGGTAATACTATAATTCATGTAATTCATGTAATACAATAACATGAATTGATATAATTTTTAAAGTGTTCTACTTTTTAATTAAAAAATGTTTTTATTGATTTTAGAGAGAGAGGAAGGTAGAGAGAGAGTCACATTGACTGGCTGCCTCTTGCAACCTCCCCCCTACTGGGGATTGAACCCCCAACTCGGGTATGTGCCCTGACCAGGAATCAAACCGGTGACCCTTTGGTGCATGGGATGACATTCAACCAACTGAGCCACACCAGCCAGGGCCCTAGTACTTCTTATATTACTGTTTCATCAAAGTTTTGGTGTATTAAACATGCCAAGTACTGAGTTATCTTGCATATCTTTTGCCTCATGTAGCTCTAATAGAGAATTTAGTTTTAGTATTAATTTTATGCCATTAAATGTATAGTCTATCTAAATATAACTAAGTGACTCTGATATAGCTTTTTAAAAATATTAATACATAAAATAAGTTTTGCTTTCATTAAATGTATCTTACCAGATATTATGCCGTATAAATCTGGCTGTATAATGAGGGGTTTTGGTAGTTTATGTAAAAAGATAGTTTTATTAACAAGCTTAATGTTTCTTCCCTTATGAATGCTATGACTTAATTGTAAAGATACATGGCTGAAGGGTTGTTAATTATAGTAGTCATATGAATTCACTACCACTACAAACTATTGTTATTTAATATTATTTTTAAATAATTGACCTTATTGAATTTTTAGTTCAATTTCTAAAAGGTAGTTGTTTATAAATTAGATGATTATATGATACTAGAGGCCCGGTGCACAAAAATTTGTGCACTCGGTGGGGAGGGGGGGTCCCTCAGCCCGGCCTGTGCCCTCTCGCAGTCTGGGACACCTCGGGAGATAACGACCTGCTGGCTTAGGCCTGCTCCCGGGTGGCAGAGGGCAGGCCCAATCC